CATTTACACAAGGAAAGCTGCTAAAGAACTTGGAAAGGTCGACAAACGATATATGAAGGTACCATTTTTAGCAGAATGGGTACGAGACAAAGGACACCGTATAAAATCACAAGTAATGGCAGCTTCAGGTATTTCTCTTAACAGTCTGCAATGGGCTTTAAGTTGTTTCCATTTTATCAAACCCTTTAAATACAAATGTATCCCATCATGACAAAAGCATACATCTCCTTGCAGGTGCTGTTTCTTTAATTCAGATACAGGAGGATCTGAAGAAGTTGAATCAAGGAGAAAACAGAGAAGAGAATTACATGAAGGCCATTGAAGATAAGATGGGTGCCATGCTTCAATCCCTTTGGCAAATCAATGTAGTTGATATTGAGTCAACACTATCTCATGTCTGCCAAGCAGTGAGTTAAAATATTTCCTTCCTTATGCTACATTCTGCAAACACTGATTTTATGATGTTGGGTAATTTGAACCATCCTCTGGCTTTATTGCATGGATGATCTAATTACTGCGTGGAAAACCTAACTGAATTCCACATGGAATCAACTTGCTCAGTTACTGATACATAATCTTCTGCTGACCCTGGGTGAATGAGTTGTGATTGTCTACTTTGTGCTAAATTTATCATAAATGCACTATACTTACACTGAATGAAAGTCAGTAATAACTGATTGTAGAACTTATAGATAACATGGAGAGACAGAAGTCCTGTTGCATTTCAAAGAAATGATTTTATTCTTTTCCGATTGTTGTGCCAGGTACTTAGGGACCCTAGTGTATCCAAGGATGCTCTTATTTCACGAGCAAAGGGTTTGAAAAAGCTTGGAACTATTTTCCAGGTCAGTTGATCTTCCTTCTCACCTACTATATTGTATTCAATAGATATTCTGATATGGAGCCCTGTAATTCAACTTGGTTATGAGTTCAGTCCCCAAAATTGGATGTCGTCAGTCAATAGACCCTGATTCTAGTCTATAATGTTTCCCTCATGGAGAGCATTATCCCTTGTCTCAGGGAGCAAAGACTGCTTACAGTAGAGATTCCAGTCTGCGCAGTGAAAATGACAAAAAGATAGATACCAGTTCATCATTGTAGCTGTCTTGAAACCCAAGTGGCTATCTATCTACTTCATTTTTGTTGATGTTTGCAATGTCTTTGAAGTGGTGATCTAATCTTTGAGGCTTTATTACTCTTAATTATCAACAGTATTGGCTGAACAATTTCATCCCTTAGATGTGGGATGTTCTATGTATATACAACTTATTTGAAGCCTAAATTATTTATTCTATATAATATCACATCTTGTGGACCAAATCCTTTGGGTGCTTGCAAGTTGCTCCCCGAGAACAATTTAATCAAACCCAAAATGATGGCCGCGAAAGATATCTGTAAAAGATTGGTTGAGTTAGTACTCACTAAATTAAAAACCTTGATTTGGGATCAGGTAAGATATTCAAACTTTTATATTATCAAGTAATTAATCTTTTGATGTGAAAAAAGAAAAAGAAAAAAAAAGAAAAAGAGAAGACTATAAGTAAATTTTTTGCCAAAAGCAACACTAAGATCTCTAGTTGATTTTTGTCTGCTACTATAGGCAACTTCCCTATTGCCAATTATGTTGAAGAGTGTCACGCCCTCAACTTGAAGATGGAAAAGACTGCAGGTAATTGTGTTTGAATTTTTAAGTTCTTACTAGTTGAGACACTCCATGGTGGTCATTATTTTTTAATTACTCCATCTTCTCCTAAAAATTCATAATCTACTTTCAAAACCAATATAACAACAAAGATGTCTATTTAACTTACTGATAAATCAATGGGAACAAAACATAGTAATTGTAATTGGAAAATGATTGATACGCATTTGATTCGATACACTTTTTGATATTAGTTTCGTTTTAATTATTAAAATATAATATAACTATAATTAATTCTGTTGATTTCTACATATTGTATATATGATTGCATTTTTAAGTTTGTTTGTTTTAAATTTTATATAAATAATAATAATTTTTTAATAAATATAATATATAATATATTAAATTAGAGTGTATATCATTCACTATCCATTATAATTACATTAGAAAGCACAGCAGCAACATGAGTTATTCAGCAGCAAATTCAAAATTAGAAAAAGGAGGAGAAAATGAGCCTTTGTCGTAAACCATTAATTTAAGCATTGATCAACACCCAAAAAATGTTCATCTTTCCAACTCCAACCAGAGGAAGAGGTTGGGTCTGTAAAATGTGAAGAATGTCGAACACTAAGTGCACCATCAACCTGAAATGCAAAGACAATGTTATCCAGATTAAAATGGAAGGCATATCATCAATAAGTGATTGTTTTCTATTAACTAGTAATCAAATTGAAATTTATTAATACAATTTCTGAGTTAAGAAATAGCTGTAGGACGCATTTTCTAATTATGGAACACTTAAATTAGTATAGGAAATAATTTACTCCCCAACACTTACTAGTTTAGATTATATTCATGGACATAAAAGATATGTTTCAAAGGCAAATTCTCCAAATGTGATTGGAAAATAACTCATAAAATCTTATCTTACAACACAATTTTATAATTTTATATGAGTAGGGATTTATTTATCCATAAACTTTACATACTATATTTATAAAAAATCTCAACCATTAATTTTTTTACTTTTCAATAATTGAGATTTATAACTTTTCAGCTGAAAAATATCTTTAATAAATATAAATAAATCTCAATTATTAAAAATAAAGAGATAAATAATCAAAAATCAAAATTTTATATAAGTATAATATGTAAAATTTGTAGCTAAATAAACCCCTCCTCATTTTATATATAGAAATAGTTATAAAAACTAGCTTTTTTTCACTAGGTGCTTGAATATGTTTATTGATTTGATAATATATAGCTAGTGCCTATTGATAGAATCTTTGAATGATTGAATCCAATTGCCATATTGGCAAGAACTTTCTTCCTCAAACGATAGGAAAATAAAATTACCACGCTTGTTTGACTTTGGCAATGCTCATATGAGAAATTAATCCACCATTTGTTGGAACTTTTTGAATTCTTTTCATTTATTAATCCAATTCTATTAGGAAAGGCCGACATTATTGAGGGCAAAGAAGAAAAAGGGATCTTTGCTTAGATTAGGGGAGCTGTCCTAACCCCACTTTATTAGAGAAAAAGGAGGATTATTTTAAACCATACAGTCACAGTGCTTTCTCTATATTCCCCCACCAATGTCTCTTCAGTTGGATTTGGTACCTTGTCTTTGTCTTTGAGTATGATTGAAACCACTAGTCATCCACAACTCCCTGTTTTAAACCAAATCTAATTTATCTTCTCCTTTGGCACTATCAAGAGCAAGCAGAGACACTAATCGGCTAATCCCCAAAGATTTTCTTTTCTTGCAAAGTCAATTTTAGCCCTTTTGAGTTCGATCCCAGTGAACTGATGAATCCAACATGTGCCCCACACTGCTCTCACTTTCGCCATCTTCGTGAGAACTTTTATAGAGGTATTATTTAAATCGAATTTTTTTAAAACTTTATACTCTAAGTATTTGGGATGGGTTTGAATATCTTTTTATTTGATTGGAAGTATAAGAATAAAGGGAAGTTGTTCTACCATCAATCATGAAATCTAGTGATAAAATTATTTATACTCTTATCATGTCTAAATTTTAATCCACGTAAAAAAAAAAAAAGTTGTTCTAGAAATGGATACTATTGATTGGTATCATGAATTAGATAAGGGGCATTTCGATGAATTCCATAGTAGGTATCATCAAAATAGTTATGTATCCTAATTAACTTTATTTATATCAAACTTAATCCACCAACTTCTAAGACTTTTAGTGCACCACAACAGCAAAGTGGTCTCCTTCACCTTTTCACCTTTGAAATTTAAACACTAAAAAGGAAGAAGATTTCATTCTCCACATCTTATAATACCCTCTTCTTCTAATTGTCTCTAAGTAAACCCCCATCGTACTGCGCATGCCCACTGAGCAACTTTTATGTTCTTTCCAATATAGATAACTAATAGCTGAATACCATTTTCTTTCCCCATTCTTCTCTTGAATGCTTAAGAAAATGGGTCTCATATTTGTGAAGAAGATGAGTCTACTTTTCCTCCTTGTTTCAGCTTTTCTTTTCTCTGCTTCACTGGCTGCAGGTGGGTTAATTTCTCTCCTTCTTGCTCTTTCGGTCATCGATGCAGCCCTTTTGTGTGCTGCATGTCTTGCATGCCTTTCAAGCTCTAGTAAATTATGTATTAATAACCTCAAACGGCAACAATTTATATATACTTTTATATACTTTGGAGCATTATTACGGTTGAATGGAACAAACTATATGAATTATGACATGTTTCTTCATTGTGGTATGCAGGCCCAGGATCTAGGATTGTGAATGGTGCAGCTGAGGAAGTTGATGAGGATGCAATTAGTACTTTTGAGGTATGATGTTCTTTCTTTATTGACAAGCTATAAATTAAGAAGCAAATTGCTTGGTTATTCCAGAGATTGAAAAGCCATGATTATGATTTCCAGAATCAAGATTATTTTGGAGTTAGTGATCATGAGGACTTTGGAAACCCATAAATTTGATTTTAAGGGCTTAAACTTTGCTAATTAATTCTTCATTTTCATAATTTGTTCCTCATGATATTATAATCCATATCAAAGTTCTTCCAATCCTACCTCACCTCCATTTTCTTCTTCCTATTATTGTTTCTCTATATTTATATATTGAATATTGAATATTTGCATTTCGCGATTGATCTTTACTTAGAAGAGTACTGCTGAGGAAATTGATGCTACGATCCATGAAAGGCTTCTAAAAGCAAACGGTAAAGACTATGGGGTGTCCGATCCGTCACCAACTATTAATAAACCTCCTTACAAGGTCATCCAGAATTAATCATGCATGCATCCTTATCTATACTGTATTTAAATAAACGAAATCGAAGGTAGCTTTACATATCTATATATATATGTGTAATTTTGTTTTTATAATATATAGTGTACGCTCTTTTTTCAGTAATATTTCAAATTGTATTAAATTGTATAATTATCATTGTTAAAATGTAAGCATGCCTCTACAACCAGAAATGCTTGATGTTATGCTTTATAATTTGCTCTAGTTTCAAGCTGCAAATTTTTTTTTTTTAAATAATGATAATAATATAAACTGCTACAATATATATAGCTGTTGTGGCATGCACTCTTTAATATTTTGGATTGAAGTCACCCAACTTGTTGTTGGATCTGCAATGAAGTGGGCTGTAGCCTGTTAGGAATCTGAACTGAAATGACCAATACAGTGACATTCGTGTCTTCTATGGGCCATATAGGCCCAAGATTCACCCAATTAATAGGCCCCAGGTTGAACTCATTCCTTGAATGAAAGAAACCACTAGTCCTTCAGTTTGAATACAATTACAAATTAGTCTAGCATTTCTTGAAAATGATAATCACCCCTCTTTTTGCTGTTTGCTCTCTGTTTTACTCTGTGTTGTTTGATGTGTGGATCACACAACGAGCACATAAGAAATCTTTACAAGCTCTGCTGATTTTTTTGGGCACCCAATCATTATTGATTGAATTTATTTTATTTTGCTCTCAATTTAAGGGGTTTTGTATATAAAAATGGAATTTTGCAATTTGTTTCTATATTGACGGCAAAAAATGAGCCACAAGATGGAGCTATTATTTGATCAAATGCTCCCTACTCGTGGGACTCTGGTGTTTGTTGTACGTATAAAATGAATTGTAAAATACGTTGTTGTATATACTTTATTTTTTGTTGTTTTTTTTTTTTTTGAACATTATTTTTTGTTGTTTTTTTTCGCTAAAATCCAATGAGTAATAATTGAATTAAACGGCTGGTTTTGTTTTTATCCTCACATTATTTATTAGTAAAGGAAATAAATGTTTGATGCCCCCACAAAAGTCACAACAGTCATTAAAGGCCAAATCATTTTTAAGATCGAAATCCATCCTTCCTTGAACCAGCTAGGCTAGCTGATTCACCCAATCCCAGTTGATTTTAACGTTTCAGTTCTTTATATCATTTTTTTTTTATTGATTTTTAGCATCCAGAAGTTCCATGTCCAGACCCCACAGGCAAGAAAATAAAAAAAAAAAATAAAAAAAATAAAAAAATAAGTTATTATTGATCGAAATAAATGGTTCTTCTAACTTCGCGAATGAGGATACACGTTAATAATATGATTAATATATTTTTTAACTTTTAATTTTTATTAAAAAAAATAAAAATTGATATTAATTTTAATATTGATATCATTTATATGATTTTAATTATTTAGTTGATAAATTAAAAATTAATTTTTATTTTTTAATATAAATTATCCGTTAAAATGTATATTAATTATATAGGTTAAAAAAACCCAAAAATAAAATAAAATAACCTTTGTTTGTGACCAATTAATTTGAGAATTTGGATGACATGCTTAGTCTGGTCAGATGGGAATGGGATCCGTTAGGTTCCCAAATGGCAAATAACCTCGTCTTCCTTCGACTCCACTCGGACATATGTAAGAAGTTAAATTAAACCACATCAACCCCTATCTTGCCCCCACCTTATTTTTACTAGGATAAAACCTCATTTTAGTCCCTTAATTTTAATAAATTTTTTTAAAAAAAAATCTATTTACTTAAGAGAGTTTATTTTTAATTCCTAAAATTTATTATTCATCCATTTTTTAGTTTATCTATTATATTTTTACACATATTATGAAAATTTCAAAGTAGAAGAATTAAAAGGGGAACTAAGAAAGTCACTTTTAGTCCTTTTATTCTAACAAAAAGCTCTTTTTAGTCTCTCTACTTAAAAATTTTCATTATCTAATGCTTTATGTGTGCAAAAAGATGATAAATGGACTAAAAAAGGATCCAATAATAAATTTTAGGAACCGAAAATAAGCATTTTTAAGTAAAGGGACCAAAATGAGATTTTTTTATTAAAGTAAATAGAGTTTTAACCTTTTTATTATTACTATTATTTATGATTTGTCAGTCATGCTTATTAATAATTCAGAAGTGATATCAGGTTAACATTTTTATATGATCTTTTTATATAACTTTTGTATATTATTAAATAAATTAATATATTTAATATCATATATTATAAATAAATAAATAAAATTAATTATTTAAATGACACATAAAAGTATATTAAAAAATAATAAAAAAATTATCCCTGAATTATTTTCTTAAATAATTCCTCACAACTAATGTGAAAGTAGTTTTTATTGACTTTTTTACATTTATATGTATACATCTCTTTGTTTCGTGCCAGGTAATTATTGTTAGATATTAAAAAAAAAATCAAATTTCATGAAAAATCAAAATAATAATTTTATTAATTTTTGTATATAATTATTTTAGTATTTGGTATTACAAGAGTTTTAAACTCTTAATTTTAACCTCAAATTAAAATTTTCAAATTAATAAATGAGATTAACGCATATCAATTTCAACTTTAAAAAAAATTAAAGTTTCAATTTATATTTAAAAATCAAAATTTTAATTCAAAATTTAAAAATTTACTTTATTAAATGTTGATATTTAGATTTAGAAATCAATTATATATTTTAATATAATCAATTTTTAAATGTAAATATTAATATTT